ATGTGCACCTACTTTCACCTATAAGTGCATGTAATTTTGTCTTGTTAACATTCATTGATCTGAGTTCAGCGGGTAGTAATAGTCCTGAAAACCACTCGCAAACATTCATACACCTAGATGCAACTACTTATACCTATGTGTGCAACTACTTAGAACTATAAGTGCAACTACTTAGAACTATAAGTGCAACTAAGTATTGATGCTCAGTGTAAATTTTTACTTGCACCTATAATACATTTTACATGCACTTGTAATACATTTTACTTGCACTTCGATGTTCAATTATTTACGAAAATGCCACCGCGTTTTTTAAAAAAAATCAGTGTTTCTCATCCATTAGATCTGGACACGTGGACGAACAGAATCCATTCCTATTTCGCGCCTGGGCGAGCAGTTCGCACCCGAGTGCAACTATATATATATATATATATATATATATATATATATATAAGCTTTTGCATACACTTATTAACCCAGGTAAATTCGTTTTATATCCCAATATCAAATATATCATTATTTGATATATATTTTGTGGAAGTTGGGTTTGTAAACTGCAGTAACTTCTCCAATATATTTTGGAGAAACATCTGAAAGAAACATGTAATTTTTACATGCAATTAATTTGCAGGAAACCAAGGTACTTCACAGTCTTATATTTCTACATAAAATTCTCAAACAAAGCAACTAGAGAATTTCATTCATCTTCTTGTATCCCATAAAATTAAATCTTGAACATTGTTGCTTTTGTAGAGGAAGATTTAAACCTTATAGAATGTGATTACACGCTTAAAGATATCAAATGATCTAGTTTTTCTTCCTTAGCTTGTTGTCTTTTGTATTTTTGTTGTATCTCAAATGTATTGTGAATGCTAACACTTTTTTCAACATGGGAGAGTCACTTCGTGTCACTAGATCACAAGGTCATTGACAAATATTTTGAAAGTTAGTTATAATTGTATGATGCAGAGTGGATAGTCATTGACAAATCATTATGTTGCACTGGTTGTTGAAACGTCCCGAGATTATGCTGCTGATAGAGTTCCAATTGTGGTCAATTAAGTATTCTTTTGTTTAGATTAAAAATTTAAAAATTTGTAATAAATGTTTTGTGTATATATTCTGTAGTCCTTCTCAGACAATGCTCTGATTTGGATCAATTTCCAAGGAGCAAATTTGAAAGCTTTAAGTTATGTACATTAGAGCATCCACATCAGTTGGGGAGAATTGGGGGATAATGTAAGAGTGATTAGGAAAGAGAGTGTGGGAGGGGAGAGAAAAAAAAAAAAAAAAAAAAAAAAAAAAAAAAAAAAAACCAAAAACTGAAATTTTTAAAATAAAAAAGCAATGTAAACAGACGCGCCAGTCGCGACTGGCGCGCCTGACGCGTCTCCGGGCGCGTGCAACGCACGCGCCCGGCTTTCTCTCCATTTTGCGCGAAACGCGCTAAAGCGCGCTTATCTTTTTTTTTTTTTTCTTTCTTTTTTCTGCCATTATCTTGGCATTTGCAGAATGATTATTTTTGATATTATCTTTGCTTCCCATCAGTTGAAGTGCATATTACTGTACTATTATCTCCCTATTATACATTGCTGTGGATGCTCTTATGTACATAACCCCATCTTGATATACGAAAATATTTCTAGGAGAAAACAACTACAAAAAGATCACTTAAAATCGAGAAAGAAAAAAAAAATTAAATATACACGTTGAACTCACCATTAGCAAAACGGCCTAGTTTCATTTGGACGAGAAAATACTGTAATTTAATTGGCTATGGTAATATGGTTTTAATATATAGATAGAAGGATTAGAAATTTTGATAGTTAGATTGTAATTTGTAAGCAACAACTATTAGCTTATTATAACATTGGTTTTGTTAACAATAAGAAAATAATGCTTATAAGTTATAACAATATTGGTGGGTGATAAACATTATCACGCCCTATATATGATTCTATTGCCAATATTTCCCTCATATTAGGTTATTATTATTATTATTATTTATTATTATTTATTATTATTGTTAAATAGGATCGATTAATTGCATAATAAAGCAAGACAAGAAATATTATTCCGTTGAGAACGAAATATTAAAAAATAAATAAAAATTGTAGGGGTTTCAAGCCACACAACAACACTTGTAAAGGTAACAGTTTCCTCCTCCTTGACCATCCTTCTGGCACGTTTTATGACATTTTTCGCCATCCCATTCCAAGCATGCACCCTTAAACGACCTGCTCATATATTTCTTAGCACATTCAACGGACAGTCTAACATTCTTCATGGGCTCAATTTCTGCAAACATATAAGGATATTAATTTTATCCTAAAATCAATGGGCTGCATGCTCTAATAATATAAACAAAAATTTAAGAATTATGATAAACATTTTTAGTCCAAAATCAATCATGTAAGTCTAACTCGAAATTTATTGGACTAACTCAATAGCTCGAATTACTCTCAAGTCTATTATTTGTTTCACAAATAACGGAATATACAAGAGAGTTTCTTTAAAAATAAAAAAAGTTCAACAACATAACTATGATAACCCAAAAAGGTTGATCCAAAACCAACATGGTCGGACCAACTAACCTCCCCAAGTATATATATCTATGAACAATTACTATGATCAAAAGAATATAATTTTGTCAATTACATAATAAAACGAAAATATTATTCCGTTCATATATATATATATATATATATATATATATATATATATATATATAAGTGTCTGATAAGTTAACTACTTTACAAAATATGGCCAATACGTTTCATTAGCAAACGAAATTGTATACCACATGAAATGGATAAGAACAATGCGTATACATTACAAAACCAATAAACATACCATATATAAAGACCCCCATGGTTGAACTCTTTCATGCTTATTTACATAGATTTGTTTGCAGAGAAATTTAAAAATTAATTTAAAAAATTCAAGACTAATGGAACAGTACTTCATCAAGCTGTTTGTCATCGTTTTCCTCTTACATCCGCTCCTTTATACTGCAGTTGGTATTTTCTTTTCAAAAACTCTTGATTAATAAACTTAATTTGCATATGCTGTCTATATTACATCACGTTATCTATATTCGAAAGAATTGGGATCATCGTGTACATACAAAGTTTAATTTGATTGTAAGATATTTTAACTGTAGTAATTATTAATTAAGACAGTTAAAATATCTTACAATCAAATTAAACTTTGTATGTACACGATGATCCCAATTCTTTCGAATATAGATAACGTGATGTAATATAGACAGCATATGCAAATTAAGTTTATTAATCAAGAATTTTTGAAAAGAAAATACCAACTGCAGTATAAAGGAGCGGATGTAAAAGGAAAACGATGACAAACAGCTTGATGAAGTACTGTTCCATTAGTCTTGAATTTTTTAAATTAATTTTTAAATTTCTCTGCAAACAAATCTATGTAAATAAGCATGAAAGAGTTCAACCATGGGGGTCTTTATATATGGTATGTTTATTGGTTTTGTAATGTATACGCATTGTTCTCATCCATTTCATGTGGTATACAATTTCGTTTCATTGCATTGTTCTCATCCATTTCATGTGGTATACAATTTCGTTTGCTAATGAAACGTATTGGCCATATTTTGTAAAGTAGTTAACTTATCAGACACTTTTATTTTATTTGACCACTTTAGTTGTTTGACTTGATTACAAATTAATATAAATGTTTGATTAATCAAGTTTTTTGTAACTTCAAAATGCTAAAATTCAAAAACTGTTCAAAGCAACTTTTTCAATTAGCTTTTTTAGAAAAGAAATTATACCAAACATGTATAAGCTATCAGTTAATTTACCAAACACTTTTCTACAATCAGCTAATGTTATCAACTAGTTATACCCTCTAATTAAATCAATCAGCTAACAGCAAATAACCATTTACCTAAATTTCTACTTTTTTTCAAAAAAAAAAAAATGCTACTCATAAGTAATAAAACCTAAATTTATACTTCCTTTGATCTCTATTCTGATTGCTGAAACATGATTGGAAAAGGATAATGGTTTGTTTTGGGACCGAACAAAAAAAATCGCGTCCTCAATTAAAGAAACAAACTGTAAAAAATGAAGCACATTAAGAAGGAAAACAAAACACATTAAGAAGGAAAACTACTCACCTAAAGCTTTAGGCCAACGCACTTTTAAGTTTCAACAACTGACACACCTTAAGCACACAAACCATGCACCTTAAGAAGAAAAATCACGCACCTTAAGAAGGAAACCTTGCACCTAAAGCTTTAGATTGACACACTTAAGTTTCAACAACCGACGCACATTTAAACACAAAAGCCACACACATTAAATTTGACCTATATGCAAAAAGACTAAATTGTTACCGTATATTTTTTTAATCCTTGTTAATCTTGGATATTGATCTTGGCAATATCAATGGTTCTCATCTCACCCCACGTTCGCACCTGAGCACACCATCCGCATTTGATCCGTATTATATATATATATATATATATATATATATATATGTATGTATGTATATAATACATCAAAAAGACTAAAACAAATTATAAAAATCATGGAATAGACTCGTCTAACACCGTCAAATCATGCTAAGCAATCAAAAAGACTAAAACAAATTATAAAAACCATGGAATATACTCATCTAACACCGTCAAATCCTGCTAAGCAATCAACTCATTCATATCCAACACACACCGTAAGCAAATCCACAAAGACCAAATCAAAAATTAGATGGCTTTTGAAAAACTAAAGAGTGTTACTTGAAAAAAAAAAAAAAAAAAAAAAAAAAGGAAACTACTAAAAAAAGAAAGATGTTGAAAACAAGAACGACTAAAAATTGTTACAATTTAGACACAAAATGACGTTGTTTTGATTTAAGGTTTATAACGGTATATAAATTTTGATCTATGATATAATTTGCTCTTAAAATTAGTTTGGTGTCAATTGAGTAACCTATTGTATAAAAAAATAATAATAAACAATTTAAATTAATATCAGGGCTCCATATCCATTTGCGCCAATAAATTGGTTTTCGGCTTTCGAACGTTTGGCCCATTGTTGCTGTTAACATGTCAACCCCCGCAGAGTTACCCTCTGAACACTGCGAAGAAGAACAAGAATCTCTGCCATCAACTCACCACCCTTCTGCCCCTTCTCATGAGGTATTGCATAAGCTTTGTGTGCGATGTTTATGTTCCCGACTTCCAAATTAGGGTTTATTATTTTTTTGTCCATTTCTCTATGCCCAAGCTACCTCTGTATGTGAAAGATGAAATCCAGGGATTTGAGGATGGATAGTGATTGAAATCATTCATCAGCGCTATTGGAAATGCAATTTAGCTTTATGTAAATGGATGCGAGGGGAGCCGTCCGAGTGTTCGACAGCTTGCGCGATAGAGTGATAGACTGCACATTGGTGTGGGCTCGTGCCATTTCTTTGTTAAAAAGCTATATTCGTCTTGCTTAATGTTTTTCACAAAAAAGTTTTTTAAAAAGTTTTAAACAAAATTTGAATCTGATTATAAGTTATATAAGCTCCGTAGTTAATAGACTATGAATTTGTAAAGAAATGTCTGAATTGATATACTAAGCAGAGAGGTCCACATTTGCAACAGAAAGAGTACACATACTTGTAAGCCAAAAGCATTTTTGGTCAGGGGTATGAGCCAAGTGAGCATAAAAGATGATACATGAAGTTTTGAGGTTCATTTTGCCCTTCATTTTTCCTCAAATGACTAAGCATTGTAGTTTAATTGATAATAAAGAATCCATTATTGTTACACTCAGGAAAGACCTAAATTTCCTCAAGATGTTTAAAGATTTAACATTTTAACTAGTTCACAGTTCCAACCTTGAATTAAGATAAGTGGCACATAATTGCCTCATTTTGCTGTTTTTTTAGTACCAACTCAAATACACTCACCCACACATACTGGAGTATCTTTCAGTAAAGTAATATTTGCTGTCGAGGAATTTTATACTGAGCGTATGAGTTCTTAATTATTACCATTTTATTATTATATGATTTAGTTGTTCACAGTGTAACTTACTTCATGCTGCACATAATTGCATCATTTTGCTGTTTTTTTAGTACCAACTCAAATACACTCACCCACACATACTGGAGTATCTTTCAGTAAAGTAATATTTGCTGTCGAGGAATTATTTTATACTGAGCATACGAGTTCTTAATTATTATCATTTTATTATTATATGATTTAGTTGTTCACATTGTAAGTTACTTCATGCTGCAGCTGTTTGATATATCAACAACTGTTGATCCTAGTTATGTAATATCTTTGATACGAAAACTCCTACCAACAGAAGTGAAAGATGAAGGCATCTCTGGAGGACAAGAAACTGAAGAATTGAAGACAGCTTCAGTCTCTGCATCTGAAAATGGAGAAGGGATGTGGGCAAATAATGAAAATGAAGCCGCAGACATGGATGATAATTTTGATAAAGTGGACAAGTTTCAAGGATTAGATGTCAGGCTATGCTGTGAGAGTACAAAGAAAGGGTCATCAGCAGGAGAAGAATCCTGGGAAGAGTATGGTTGTATTTTATGGGATCTTGCTGCGAGTAAAACTCATGCTGAATTCATGGTGCTTGAATTTTCTCTTTCTTTTCATCTTTCTGCATCTTAGCAATCTGTTGGTTTGTATTGTTGGGAGAAGTGGGTTAAGCTGGGTTGCAGGGAAAGGGTTTGATATCAGGACTTTCAACTTTACAGTTCAATCCTTGTACAAAGAACCCAGAGTGTGAGCTTCATTTTTCCTTGGTCCTTGTGAGTTGTGACGCTATCAACACTGAATTGAATAATTCCCAAGAGCTTTCAGAATGAACTTTTCACTTGATAGGTCAAATGAGAGTGCCAAAAACAATTTTGTTATGCTCTTTTACTGGGATAGGCTTTCTACTGTCATTATTCATTCCCCCCTTCCCTCTTCCCCCCTCCCCCCATTTTTGAATCTTGTTTAGTCATCACTGCAGTTTTTAAGTATTATGATTTTTTTTAAATACAGGTTCAAAACCTTATACTTGAAGTTCTGTTTTCCACTCTTGTGGTTTCAAAATCTGCACGTATTACAGTGAGTCACATTTCTAATTTAATTTTATCTTGTACATCTTACATGGACGGTCTTGATGTTCCCAAATGCATGGACTTTCTTAACTTGGATATGCTTAAGCAGGAAATTAGCCTTGGAATCATTGGGAACCTAGCATGTCATGAACTTTCTCGAAAGAAGATAACTTCCACAAATGGATTGATTGGGGCGGTTATGGAGCAGTTATTCCTAGATGACACGCCATGCCTTTGTGAAGCATGCCGGTACTATAGCTGAAATTTCAAAGATAATCCTTAATTATTTGTCAAATATTTTACAAACTTTCCTGCATATATTTATCATTTTGTTTAAATCACCTTACTAGGATATCTTTCTTTTTACTGTGCTTTTATTTCTTTACTTCAGAACATTAAATGGTAACTTTGCTACCACCCCTTTAGCTATGTTTTGTTGTTACCTTCTAAAATGAATTTCAGGTCAGGATGTTAATATATTATTCTTGTTCTGAGTCAATTAAATTTTTTTAAACATTTTTTAATCACATTTCAATATATAATGTAGTTGTCTGCAATCATCTTCATTATGGTAAGTATTATTATACAGGGTAGTAACTTTATGTCTTCAAGGTGACAAGAGTGTTCTTTGGGCAGAAGCCTTGCAGTCTGAGAATATATTATGCCGAATCTTATGGATTATGGAAAATACTTTAAATCCAAATCTTCTTGAGAAGGTATTGGATTGTGTTACAATTTGTAGTCCATCCAGTCTACTGCATCTCCTATTGTTTCATTTTGCTATCAAACGGTGTTAGTCATTTGGTACATATTGTGGATTGTGGATTGTGGATGTTTTATTTAATAATAATTTTTGTTATTGTTTGTACTGTGTTACCATGCCTGAAATTTTGAACAGTACATTTGAAGAGAAATATCCATCTAATGCCTTATGTATGTCAAAAAAGTTTCATTTAGTTAGTGTGAACTAAACTGTGATGTTTAGTATCATGTAGTTGGACCAGACAAATATGATTATGGAAACTGCCCCCAAGGTAGATCTCCAACCCCACCCCACCTCCCTCTCAAAGAAGAAATTTAAAAAATAAAATGAGATACAGCTGTTTACTAACACTAAATTTTGTAGTATCTTGCACACACTGGAAAGTTTCTCAGTTTTTAATGCATAAATCCCAAAAATCAGCTTGGTGTTATCAGTGACTAATGTAGTTTTCAACACTAAAACAGAGTGTAGGTCTACTCTTGGCAACATTGCAAAGTAAGCAAGAAGTAGCTGTTATCCTTCAACCACCATTGATGAAGTTGGGACTCCCATGTCTTATGGTTGATCTCTTATCTTTTGAGATGGGAAAATTAAGGGAGGAACGATTACCTGAAAGGTACAGTTATTTTTCTTATAATTTTAGGTGTTTCTTCCTCCAAAAAGCACCGAGTTTATTTTCATGATATTTGGTTTTCTGATAAGCTGAGTACTTGGGAAATCACTTATTTCCTCAATGACCCCTGTCATGTGGTTGTTTGCCCACCAGACTCATATTTAAGTATAAGTATGTCTTGGGAAATCACTTATTTCCTCAATGACCCCTGTCATTTCTGTCATTCTTCCATCCTAATGCTTACTTGATGAAATATGGTAGCATCCAATTTTAATTGATTTTGTGGGTCATATGGATTCCAGTGTTCTACTCCTCTCCTTAATCTTGCACACGTGCAATTAGTTTTCACTTTTCACTTAGATGCATTCTTTAGTCTATGTTCTTGACCCAGGAATGCTTTGTTCTGCACCAGGTACTCGGTTCTTGATTTAATTCTTCAGACATTTGAGGCTCTTTCTGTCATTGATGAATCTTCACAAGAAATCTGTGCAAGTAAAAGACTTTTTCTACTACTTACTGACCTAATCAAACTTCCTGAAAAAGTTGAGGTATGTTGTAGATTTTGAAAATTTTGCTTAGTGAGTCAAGGTTATAGCATGTAACCTTACCACAGATTCGTTAAAGAAAATAACAAAAAATGAAAATGGAAAAGCCAACCATATGTTGAACTTGTACTGGTCCGGGTCATTCTAAACACGTGATTTGGCCCAAAACTTTGCTACTAGTCCTATAATTTCATCTGTTGTCAAAATTTTCTGGTTACAACACAAATGAGCATTATGATTATGTAAATAGCATGGTGTGCAAATATCTCTGTTGATGGAATAATTGAAGCATGTGCTACATCTCAACTAAAAGCCTAAGCTGATAGTTGGATTGCACGCACATTTATGTTTATATATATTATATGCTCAACATGCCCCCTCACGTGTGCGGGCCGATTACTTTTTATGGGCTCCAAGCAACACGTGGACCATAGTCTCTTTTTTATCGGTTGACGCAGGAATTCAAACCGATGACCTTTGGCATGACTCTGATACCAAATTGAAGCATGTGCTCCATCTCAACTAAAAGCCTAAGCGATAGTTGGATTGCACATTTATGTTTATATATATTATATGCTCAACATGAATGAACAAGCAAATAGGATATTGCAAAACATTTTAAAACTCAAATGATGTATCTCCTACAGGTTGCTGATTCTTGTGTTACTGCTGCTGTTTTGCTAGCAAATATTCTAACTGATGCAGCTGATCTAGCTTTAGAAATATTTCAAGGTGAGATGATTTACTGCTAAAAGAAAAGATACTTGTCATCAGTTTTCCATGTTTAGCCTTCAGTTGCTCTACCTAGGATAACTTTTGGTAACACAAAGATCTTCAGACCTTTTGTTGTTACAGGGTCTATTTAGTCTATTCCCTTTTGCTTCTGCTGATGCAGAAGCAAGAAGTGCACTTTGGAGCATCATTGCAAGATTACTGATTCAAGTTCAAGAAATTGAGCTGAGTCCGTTGCAGCTACATCAGTATGTTTCAGTTATCACAAGTGAAACAGAAGTGATTGAGGAGGAACTTCTCGATCACCAGTCAAATGACTCCAACGAAGAATGCGGGAGCTCTGCTACCCTTGCAAAATTCGCTGCCAGAAATGTAGCTGTATCCTTACAGGTTTATGAATGCTTTCACCCAGAGTTGAAAATTAAAAATTTGAAGCAAATACATATCTGGCTTGTCATTTCTACATGTTGAAAGTCTGTTAATTGTTATTCTGCTTTAGTATATACTATCTTTTCGTTCTTCTGTTTCCTTTAACTGCATAGTAGCTGAATGGAATTGTACGGATTTTAAGTCAATGGATGGACTTAGAGGATAGAGTCAAGGAGTCTCTTCGTACAGGGGAATACCATGTGAACAAAGGAGATGCTTATAAATTGCTGCACTGCTGTGGAAAATATATCAAGTAAGATCGAATCACTTGTGTACATTTTAGTTCTATCATATATGCCTTGTATGCTTAATCCATCAATTTTTGTCCTCAATTTCTCTAGAATTTAGCTGCTTGAGAATGAGACCTGAGCACTGATGTGTAGTTATGTTGTAGTTTTTCAAATTCATGTTTGGAAATGCTGGATTGGAATGAAAGTTTTGAGCAGAAGTGTGGTCTTTGTGTATTGTATTGAGGTCGATTTCCTATATTATTATAATGCCAGTTAGTAGTACTATGGTTACAGAACATACATTTTCAGAGTTGATGGCAATAATCTTGTATTTCCACAGATCTGATGCAAGTGTCAACAATCATTAGATCTCTGTATAAACATGTGCATGCACGCTCTTGGGTACTCTGCATATTACAGCAAATATATATATATATATATATATATATATATATATATATATATATATATATATATATAGGTCTAGGACCATGGGCGAATGACTCCCCATAGGTAAAAAAAATGTACACAAATCTCAGCCATTGAGTTCATTCAGATCGATATTTAAAAAAATATAAAATTCTTTTCGAATTAATAAAAATTGTACACTTTTAAAATCATAAAAATTGTACACTTGAAAGCTCAAAATCATGCACTTGAATATAAAAAAATGTGCACTCGAAGGTAAATAGATGTGCAATTGATACAATTTATGGTTAAAAAAAATGGATGTTGTTCAACTTAAGTGTTATTAAAGTAATTATTCATGCAAATCGTTTGTAAATTTCACAAATTTCATTAGAAATTTAGTTTAATGTTATTGAAAAGAATATGCACCGGATAGTTACAAAATGTGCACTTAGGTTAAAAACATGCACTAGAAAGAAAAAAATGGTTCATTGGAATGTTAAAGTGTTTTTTTAAAACAATAGTAAGATACACATACACTTGTAGGAATGAAATTGAGCACTTGAAGGCATAAAGGATCACTAGAAGGCAAGGGAGAAATAAAAGACATTAAAAGGTTAAAAATCGAAGGAACTAATTGTGCACTCTTAGAAAGGAAAACATGCACTTGAAGACTACAAAACGTGCACAAAACATGCCCTGGATGCAAAAAATGGTCCAATGGAATGTTGAAGTTTTTTTTTTTTTTTTTTTTTTTTTTTAGTTTTTTTTTTTAAATTTATTTTTTATTTTTGTTTACACAATAGTAAGACACACATGCACTTGTAAGCATGAAATTTAGTACTTGCATGCATAAAGAGAATCACTAGAAGACAACGGGGAAAAAAAGACACTAAAAGAAAAATTAAAAAAAAAATAAATTAATTGTGCACTTTTAGAAAGAAAAACATGTACTTTGAAGGCTACAAAGCATGCATTTGAAGGTCAAATTTTTATACTCAAAGACACAAATATGTGCACTCAAAGGAGAAACTATGTACTGAAACAAAACAGATGCACTCGAATAAGAGAGATATGCATTTGAAGAAGAAAACATGTGCATTTGAAGAAGAAAAATGTATGACCCAAATACAAAGACAATCTGACTTACTCAAAATTATAATATTACCACCACACATTTTTTAAATAATCTTCAATCTAAACTGTTGGTTTAGACTATATCTATGGTTGAGATTTATTCATATTTTTTTACCCAAATACTACCTTCGTATATGATTCAAATTTATATATATATATATATATATATATATATATATATATTAATACATATGCTGCTCTCCAACTCTAAATATGGAGTTTCCACTTCACATTAGGTACGTGTGATTTAACATTTATGGCCCGTTTGGTTCACGGAATAGGCTTGGAATGTCATAGCATTCCCAGTAATAGACCTATTCCTTTGTTTGGCAAACCTTTATATTACCATGAATAATGTTCCTGGTAATAGCCTATTACCTCAAATAAGATAATAGCTATTACTAGGGCCCCTTGGTATTAACCTATTCCTGAGTCATCAGGAATAGATGTTTTATTTAATTTCCTATTTTACCCTTTTGTTTAATTTAAACATTTTAGGCTATTTTTCTCTTCCTCTTTGTCATTGCAATCCCTTCCGCCGTTTGCAGAAATTGAAGCTTCAAACAAAGATATTCTTCTAATAATACGTTGTTTTGGTTCACTAAAGCACTGCAATTTTAGTGTTTCGGGACCTAAAAAATGTTTTCCCCCAAAAAAGTAATAAATTTACAATTTTTGCAATGAGATTCAACAGCCAAATATATGCTGTGTTTAAATATATCCAACCAGTATATGCAGAATTTGCAGAGCTTCAAATAGTATCTTCAATTCTTTTATCTTTTTTTTTTTTAATTAAATGCAATAAAGGCGTGAAAAATCGAAATCGAGATTAAAATCACTGAAAATATGCGGCAAAAGAAAAGAAGACAGAGATTACTAAGATATATAACACACATCTTTCATGGATTTTCCGAAATTTAGGTTCGAAGGTCGGCTGAGGCTTCTCGCAATCGGACCCAGACTTTGTCGCTCGAAGCTTCCCCGGCGAAGGAGTCGTTGCATGGAGGATCAGATGGTGTTGATGGTGTCGGGGATGTCTAGAGAACGTTCGCCGCTGGTCGGATCGTCGTCGGCGATCGCGGAATTTCCATCGGAGGTTGTTTTGCAACCGTTCAATTTCCGGCCAACAGAGGTCGCTGACAATTGACAAAGAAGGGGCTGGTGGCGATGGCCTTGGTGTGGTCACGGCTGATTGATCCCCCCTGCGTAACCATAGCTCCTGTCGCCGGCGAGGCAAGAAGGGGCTGGTGGCGATGGCCTTGGTGTGGTCATGGCTGATTGATCCCCCCTGCGTAACCATAGCTCCTGTCGCCGGCGAGGCTTCGATCACGATTGCAATGGAGTCGCAGACGGTCTGATGGAGTTGATGCCTTGATGGGTGAGCTGCTGTAGATAGAAGTCTTAATTTGCAAATATATTATGTGGCCACTCTTTTCCTTTTTGTTAATGTGCTATTATAATAATAATAATAATAATAATAATAATAATAATAATAATAATAATATATTTTGTACAAGGACATTTATGTCTTTTAAACATATATTTAGTTTTTATTCCTTAGCCAACCAAACGTTGGAATACAATTCTTAAAGTCTATTCCTTCAACGAACCAAACAACATAATACAAATCATATTCTATTCCTTACCTATTCCATTCCTTATGGAATAACATTCCAATTCCCTCTAAATTGATTCCGTGAACCAAACGGGCCGTTAAGGATTCATGTAATAAGTGTTTCTTTTTACAAATTGGTTGTTCAAAATGTGATTTTAAGTGTTGATTCTATCCCTCATAAAATATTTGTATTTATATTTACCTATTTCTTGACATCAATTTGCTTGTTAATATGTAATAATTGCATGACTCAAAATGGGTTCCTGTATTTATAATAATTGCATGACTTTTATTTGTATTCCACATCAATTTGCTTGCTAATATGTAATACAGTATAAATCTAATCTACACTTAGATTAGATAAAAACTAATCTAAGTAATTTAAAAAACTTCTTCTCTGGCCACTGTTGGTGTACATTCTGCCTTTTGATCTTGTCCTCATATTACTCACATCAGTTACTTATCTGGGAAGACATGATTGACTTCAAAGTTTGTGTGGTACTTGCAATGTATGTATATTTTTCTCCTGCAAACAGAAAGTTACAATCATGTCTGACAGTTAGTACAAACCATCTACTTTGTCAATCAATGACAAAGTGACATACTTTCTAAGTTAGTTTTCAAGCCACTGACTTAAATTAAGTCAGCATATAGGTCCCTGCAAAATGCCATAGCATTAAGATTAAAGTCAGATTTTAGTTTTTAAGTCGTACCTCTTGCTTGTCATATAAATCACTGATAGTAACCACCTCAAATGGTTGACTTGTTGAGCTATCATTTGCCTTGCTATAGCTGAGACTAGACAGAGAATTAATACTTCTCATTGGAGTCTGGAATTCTCTATCAGCAAGGCTACTTACATCAAACCCAATATTAGAGTCAAATATAAGGCATAGAAACATGATAGGACAGTAAGTAGTTCCTTAGGCTGAAATTCTTGTAATGTTATTCAGGCACCTAAAAGAGTAAATCGACCAGCAGTTCCTTAGACTGAAATCCTTCTTCAAGCAATTTAGGACAGTAAGTAGACAACAGAGCTGTGTCATTTTTAATAAGCATCTCCTTGTGTACTTTTTTGATTACCTAAACCATTAAAAAGGGATTAGAAATCCATAAGTATAGAGAGAGAGAAAAAAAGAATTAAATGTTATACACTAACCTTTGACCAAGTACCCTCTAGCTGTGAAGTTGTCACGCCTAACTAATCTAATCTAATCTAACTCTATAATAAAGCAACAACTTCTTGCAATTTTGTTTTCCCGCCTAAACAAGACTGTGTTGTTTTAGAGTTTAGGGCTGATAGTCGCAATAATAAATGATGTTCACATTAAATGGTATCTACTGATGTGGTTTAAAATTAGTTTGTTCAGATGTTGGTATTACCTATGCATGTATGAGTCAGCGAATTAAATGCGTTGCAACTTCCGATTAACAAACAATAGAGAAACACAAATATATATATATATATATATATATATATATATATATATATATATATATATATATATATATATGGAAAATCGAAGCATTGCATATTTTAATTACAAATTAGAAGTGATTGAAATATAAGAGAAGACATTCTTTACTAGAAGTCATTGTTTCAAAATGACTCATTGTTCCAAAGCTTGCTTCTTCGTTGTTATATAAAACTCCTGATTTAGTTCAACCTCTATATAAAGAGGTCGAATCAAGTAGACTCCAATCCCAAATTATTGCGAATAACTAAACCTCTGGAGAAGTAAAGATTTGTTGAAAGAAAAATGCCGTCTCCTTATCCTTCAGTCAAACAAATCAGTCCCTTGCACACCAAAAGATCAATAAGAGTTAGATTAGTTAGAACAAGTACTAGATGTTAGAGGAGGCAAACTGAGTAAAAGTAAAAAATGTTTATTCCACGCGAGGTAAATTCAATCTTATTATTTTTCTATCCACTATAACTGTTTTCTTTCATGTAATACTCTTTTCATACATTTGTAGGGAATTAGGAATCATATATCCATGTTTTTTTTTTTTTTGAGAAATAAATCAAGGGAAGTTGAAATATATCAAAGGAAGATGTTGAAAAATATTAGCTGATTTTTTTTTCTGGAAATTGTATTGATGTTTTGTCTGGATTATGCATGTGGGCAGACAAAATTGGTAGCACAATTTTCTGGAAACATTTCTATTCTTTCCTACATTATTTGCAAATTATTCAGTTTCTTTTTGTTTTTTTTTTTTTCAATTAATCTTATATTCATGTTTGGTTTCTTTTCTATTTCTTTATTTAATTTTTTGTATTAGACAATTGGTTTCTGTCACTTCAAAATGTTGCAGGATGTACTTTGCAACAAAGCAGGGAAGATGAATACACTAGAATACCAAAATGGTAATAAAACTTAGACAACAATATTCCATGATGTTGGGGTAATTGTGGCAAAGTCAAGGCTTGATTGAAGAATAAAGTCATCAAAGAGGCCTTGACTTTAATAATAATAATAATAATAATAATAACAATAACAATAACAATAATAATAATAATAATAATTTTTGAGAACATAATAATAATAATAATAATAATAATAATAATAATAATACTGCTAGTTTATGGCACATAAATTAGTTTTTTTTTTTTTTAATTACATGTAACCTTATCTAAAAAATTTAGGAATAAGGGTCAAATATGCCACTCAACTGCGCACCACATTGCAATTGGGCCATCGAACTAAAAAAGAATACAATTAGATCTTGAACAACGCAAACTAGTGCAATTCAATCCAAAATGACTTGTTTACCTGGAAACATAGGTTACCGAATTTTAATTTTTTTTAAAATAATTTTAAATAAAATAATAATTATAATTTATAATTACAAAAAAAAAAAAAAAAAAAACTCCTTCGTCTCCGCCGGAGACGAAGGCAGGCTTTGTCTTGGGCCGTCTCCCCGGCCATGGAGACGGCCTGAGACGAAGCCACCGGAGACGAAGCCTGCCCTTCGTCTCTGGCGGAGACGAAGGAGTTTTTTTTTTGTAATTATAATTATAATTATTATTTTATTATTAAAAAAATATTTTTTAAATTCGGTAACTTATATTTCCAGGTAATAATAATAATAATAAAGTATTTCCATGTAAACAATTTTGAAGAAAGTGTTTTCAAATAATAATAATTAGTTAATTACCATTTTGAATATTTACGGGCATAGTCTGAATCATCCACACGAGAGAAGTACATAGCATCAGACCTAACAAAGTAAAAGAGTTTCACTCCGTCGTCGGAAGAATTAACACAGTATTTCTGTGGGCGAGCAGTGGCAGTAAACACGGCTTTATCTACTGGTATTAACGTAACATCTTTCATATGTTTGGAACCCCACGTAAAGTTACAGAACACTGCATTCAGAACTTTTAAGTTTTTTACTGGCCACTCAAAGTACGAACCTCTTGTGACGTTTTGGGCCCCACTATTGCGCCCAGATTCTGAATGGCAATCACATGTGAACACGTCATTCACAGTAGGGAGCTGATTGATGATATACAGCATATAGTCTTTGGAATGGACGCGGAAGAAGAAGAATGAGAGCAAGAGCACTACATGTAGTACGGGGACAGATTTTGTTCTACCCATTTTTTTTTTTTTTATTAAAGTTTGGGGAGGGGAGATATGATATTTATAAGGGAAAATAACATTTTTTTCTCACTGAGTTATATCTTATAGCACTTTATTTTTTTGTATTATTTAAGTGGCTGTTTTTTCTTCTGAAATGTTAAATGAACATATTTACCCTTATTTTTATTCTTCAACAAATTATGACCACAATTTGGTTCAAACCAAACAGACACTATAGCAACCAAACCAAAATATTTCAATTACAATTTAGAACCGAAACCCGATATTTAGAGTTTATTACAATGAATCGGAACGGTCAGTTCATGTTCCAACCTAAAAATAAAATAAAATACATTTATTGTTGAATTTAGACTATTTTAAAATAAAGACGATTCAAAATCGCGAATCGGATTCGGAACCGCCGGTTCACGGTTCAGGATCCAGTTTTTTCGATTCATAATTTTAACAAACTGAAATCCAAATATTGATTCTGGATCTTAATCATAATCGGAAAATTTTAATTCGATTGCTATAGTGTCCGGTTCAGTTTGAACTGAACCATGATTTACGTATACGCAATAATTTGTTGAAAAAGAAAAAATTAATAAAATGTTTACTTTAAAGGTAGAAATGTCAATTTAATATATCAGGGGAAAAAAATCACAACTTTTAGAATAATTGAGGGGGCTAATGTGCCTACCTGAATAATTCAGGGAGAAAATATGCTATATGTAAATAACTCGGAGGGAAAATGTGTAATTTTCCCTATTTATAATGGATGCTTTCTAATCTAAATTATAATAACAATTTTAAAGCAAAGTGATATATATCGTGTACGTTTCTGTGTTTGTTATATGTTTGGAGCATGCATGGCATGAGGTCTTCTGTACTGTGCTTAAAAATAGCTAGGATGAAAACAATACGTATACATTAATAAAGAAACATACATACATTACTTCCACATTATCAATTTTTTGGTTCAGTTAAAAAACTGAACCAAACCAAAACCATTCAGTTTATAAAATATAGAACTGTATCTACCTTGCAGGTGGACACGGTTCAAAAGCTGTTCATAATTATGAATACATAATTCAAAAATTATAAACATATAGTTTTATAATTATGAACATAGAGTTGTGAACATAATTATGAACATATAGTTCTGTAATTATAAATATAGAGATTCAATCATTGTGAATATGAAGTTTAAAAATTACGAATATATAACTTTATAATTATGAAAATATAGTTCAGTAATTATGAACATAGAGTTCTATAATTGTGAATATAGAGTTCAATAATTATGAATATGAAGTTCAAAAATTATGATTATATAGTTTTATAATTATGAACATATAGTTCAGTAATTATGAACATAGAACCGTGTCCATCTTGCAAGGTGAACACAGTTTTATAGCATAACGATTGAAAATACCTACCTCTAAAAGAAAAATACTATATGTACTCTCATTCTCTATTCTCACACTTAAATTTTGATGCAAACACATTTAAAGAGACCCTACGAAGAAAATAGCCTATCAATGCCAACCACAACAGGAAGTAAATTTGAGTGTAAGATTTGAGAGTACATGTAGTAAAACTCCCCCTAATTTACAATTGTTAGGCTTCTTAAGCCAACAGGTTATATTCTTTACACAGTAATTGAAAATTGTAAATCTTCTCAGTCAAAAAGGGAACATAGTGTTGGATAATTGAACACTAGTAAAGGTGTTAAATAAAATTGGGATCTAACCGACTAACCCTAACAAAACTTCACAAGAGATCCTCAGCATTAGGATGTGCATGCTCATTCTGAATTATACTCTTCTTCTATAAGAGGAAGATAGAAAAGTCTAAATGCCTCCACAACTTCTAGATACCACATTGCCTCTCGATCGGGTACTGGTGAAAGGTCAATAATTTTGTGTACCTTAGAAAGATATACACTACCGAGTTAATACATGACACAAAGATTGATCAATAGAATAGAAAACTTCACTAATTAATCAGCAAATACAGAAATTGATTACTGAGGAACATTTTTCAAAACACCAAATTTACACCATCGGTTTTAATCTTAGAGTACTCAAAACATTTATGAGAGATGGTGAATAATATCATTCTAAAGAGTTTCCATGATGGGATTTTGTGCTCATATAGCATTAGAATTTTGAATAACAGAAAGAGCAGCTCAAGCACATCAAAATTTCAAGGCACTAGTATATTCCTCGGTAAACATAATCTGAACTCAAAATGCCACATCTTGAGTAGTACATCAAGAAACTATGCAATAAAACAAATGTCTACAAAAACCTGTGATGGAAGGTAGACAATTTACCTCCTCCTGGTCTCTCACCTGTAGATTAGGGTGTGTTTAGAAACCCGGAAAATGATTTCTTTCCGGGTTTCTAGTGTTTGGTAAAGAGTGAAAAATGTAAGTTAAAGGAAAATACAAAAATGACTTCCCCTCTTTTTTGTGAGAAATTATTTTCCAATTTCCACACCCCCTACCACCACCGCCACCACCACTAACGCAACCACCACCGCCACAACACCACCATCACCACCGCCACACCATAACACTACCACCCTACCACCACCACCACCATTTATATTATTATTATAAATGTTATATTCTAAACAAAACAATTAAAATGTTTAATTATACTATTCTGCTCATTTTTCAAAAAATGAACCAAACACACCAAGACAGTTTTCTGGAATGCAACCAAACACCGGAAATGATAATGTTTTCTTGAAAACGACTCATTTTCCATAAGTCATTTTCCTGATTTCAAAAGACGCCCTAAAAGCCAGGCTATGAACAGATGAACTTGTGAGTATATACAACTCCATATCATACAATCAGGCAGTCCAACAGCATTACCAGTCTTCAAATGTCTAATGCTACAGAATAACACATCAGAATGGTCAAAAGTAAAACATATGGAAGGCAGATCGCGAACGGTTCTAACTCCATATTTTCACTCACTATCCCACCCATTACACTTCCAATGCCAATTGCCGAATGTAACATATTGTTATAAGAACTTTCAAAACTTGCATTCAGAGGAAAATAAAACACTCGGCCAAGTTTGGCCGACTCAGGTGCCTAGGTCACCTAGTCAGCTGGCCCACTAATGTCTACATAAGGATAAAATCCCCTCAACCTAGGGGCCTATGCAGATTTTAACAACAGTGAACCCCTCCTTCTAACCTTTTATGTTGGTTCAAAACTCCAGATTATTTAGAGAAGCAAATTATCCCCAGAAATCAGAATGATGAATATCCATGGAAAATGTTTGAAGTACAATCGCATTCCAATTATAATTTATGATGCCCAACAAGTAATGCAACACGCAATTACTGCCTGAAAAATGAAATTCCACTCCAACTCCCCCAAACAAATTTTTTAAACGGCATTTCAACTGATTCACTGCACAAAAGCAAACAATTTTCCCTATTGCTTACCTTAATAAACGAGGTCCCATCTTTTCTGACAAAATATCCTCCAACAACCATTACATACATACCTATACAAACGCAGACACGCAAGGAGAGATTTAGGAGAGTGAATAAGAAATGGAGAACTAGGGATTTAAAAATAAAAATGCGCGTACCTAATTCCCAGGCATCATTTTGTAGGTAGTCGCCAGAGAACTTGAGTTCGATGACGCCGGTGCCATCGTCGAGGAGGAAGCGGCCGTCATCATTATTGGAGGGAGACGGTTTTGAGACCAAGACGCCCTACAGTGCGATTAGGGAAAGTGATTATATACAATTATACACACACACACACACACACACACACACACACACACACACACATATATATATATATATATATATATATATATATAGAGAGAGAGAGAGAGAGAGAGAGAAACCTGAAGCCAAGCGCGTTGGAAGAGAATGCCGCCTAGAGACAAAGCGGGCTGAGAGTAAGAGGTCGCCTCCGTGACGGCGGTGAGCTGTGAGCACAAGATCTTCAGCGCAGCCAGAGTGTAGTCCATCTTCCTCTCTGTCCTCTCTTCCTTCCCTCGATATCAAATCTCAAAAATTCCTAAAAATCCAACTCTCAGTTTCTGATTTGCTCCCCAAACACTTGCGATTTTCAAAACTTACCCCCATTGCTAATTAAACTTATCCAATTAACGGTATGGAACAAATTTGAGTTTTTTGCACTTTTGGTCTCACGACTATAGTGGCACTAGCAGAATTGATCCACGACTTTTGAACCTTGCAATTTTAGTCCACGACTATTGATTTTTTTGCAAAAATGGTCCTTCCGGCCACTTTTCCGTCAAAATTCCACCGGAAAATTTTATTTTATCCATTTTTAACAGGGCTAAAATTGATATTTTACTTATCTCAAAATATAAAGGAAATACATAAAACGGAAAGGTAAAAGCGATTGCATTTGAGAATCTCCGCCGCTTCTCTCGCCGGAAATCTATACAACGAAGCTTTTCCGATGTCTTCGGATGATCTCGCAGGCGTGCTGGCTCCCCCTCCAATGCTGCTGCCGGATAACCCAACTAGCTCGGGAAACGCCACGACCGATCCGCCACTTACTGACAGTCCTACCTGCACCAGGAACTCCGCCGCCTGGGGCAGTAGTATGTAGCCCAGTAATTTTTATGTAGTTAAATGTCAATTTTTTTCTTTTATTTTTTTAGATAAGTAAAATGTCAATTTTAGCCCTGTTAAAAATGGATAAAAAAAATTTCGGTGGAATTTTGACAGAAAAGTGGCCGGAAGGACCATTTTTGCAAAAAAATCAATAGTCATGGACTAAAATTGCAAGGTTCAAAAGTCGTGGATCAATTCTGCTAGTGCCACTATAGTCGTGGGATCAAAAGTGCAAAAAACTCGAACAAATTTCATTACAGCCGATTATTGTGGTATTGACACTTTTAATCATATTTATTTAATTTTGTTACATTATATCTTTGACTTTTATTTATTAGTCACAGTTATTTTTTTTTTAAATTTTATTATTCTATCATTTAATAAATATGGCTAATATAGTACGTAGTAATATGTAATGTAATCATTCAAAATGATCAGGGATTAAGTCTCATTAACATTAGAGTGGGAGCAACTTTTCAAAGTGAGTGGCTCCTTGTGCTCAATAAGTACTGGTCTAGTTTCCGTGTTCAGCTAAGTTACTATGATTTAAATCTTTACAGATGCTTTGTAGGGTCGAGGTGTGGGGGCTCTTGGAGTTAGAGGTTATATAATGTAATTACTCAATTAAAAGAGTTTACCATTGATGGAAAGAAATTACATATGGAAAAAGAGTTGAATTGACAAAATTGCAAGTTAATAATCTTTATTAAATATTTAAAGTTTAAATGATAACTTTATAAAAATTTAAACGGTAGACTAATTATGACAAATAAGTAAAAATTAATTATGTAATATGACAAAAAAAAAATTAAAAAATATTAAATATGAAAAAATACCACAATAGTCGATAGAACCATCCAAACATGTTTTGTTAAGGATGGATTTCGATTTTAGAGGTACACCAAAGAGCAACCCTCAAGTGCCCAAGAGCATTGCCTGCCTACATTTAAAAAAAATTATGGCCGTGTTTGGTAAAATAGTTAACTTATAGGTCAATTTTGGATTATTTGAACACTATTAGTTGTTTGACTTGTTTTTAAAAATCAATATAAGTGTTTAGTTAAATAGCTTTTTGTACTTCAAAATGCTAAAATTCAAAAAATTACTCAAAACAATTTTTTCAATTAGCTTTTTAAGAAAAGAAATCATACCAAACAACTATATATCAGCTAACAACTAATTTATCAAACATCTCTCTACAATCAGCTAATGTTATCAACTAGTTATACCCTCTAATTAACTCAATCATCTCTCTAGTAACCGTTAACAACCATTTACCAAACAGGGCCTATATATTTATCTATAGTAAATGTTTTAATAATACTATATTATTATGTATAGTCATTATTGAATGTTATGGTAATTTAGTTGGTAATAAGTATCTTGATATTGTAGGAGATCAAATCTTATAGCATATGTATAATGGTTATTGAATATTGTGATAAATTAGTCAATTTTATTAAAAAATTAATTTGTTTTGGCCATTAATTATTAATTTTAATCACTTTTAGTTATACTATAGTACGATATAACTCATGAAAGAGCATAATACATAGTACATTATTCATTATATGTTATAGAGAATTCAGGATTAGATTATTCAGCTTAATGCCCTTGTTACATGCATATATAGACTAGTACGTTATTATCAAAGGTTCTGAAGCATTTAACAGTCCTGCAATCCCCTAGTGATTAGTTGTATGTTAACTTCTTTACACTCAGCCTGGCCTTAATTGATGCAATGAACTTCAATTCATGTCCAAATCTTTGTAGCAATAATCAATCATAGGATTCATAGGTGGATGTTTATCCTCTCAGACATTTTCATGATGTCTGAATGAACTCTATTTCCTCCCAGCTGTGCACCAGAAGAGCCTGCAGCAACTCGCAAAACATCCTCAATGAATGCAACGTTTCCCATGATGTCTACATGCGCCCCGCTCTGCGTGCCCCGCCCTTCCAGCAGACTAGACGGCGGTTTGTGCTGGTACTCCCTTATGTATGTGGGGATGCCCGAAGGGTTGAACCTCGTCTTCCCTCGCCACGGTTTGGCACACACGAAACCTGCACTCATAACCGGGACGCTCCCGTCCCCATCAACGAAGTGTACCCCGCCCCTCGAGCTGTCGATCTGGAATGGAATGTTGGTGTTGCATCGGTCAAACGAAGGGGAGAGCTTGTACAAGTATGACCTTTCTGTTGGGATTCCCACTCCGTATAAGCAGTATATCTCCATATCGGGTGCAATAGGTAACCTGAAATTCGATCATGCATATATTACTCACTAGTCAGTGCTGTTTAATCCTTATATGAGACAAACTCAACAGATATGTTATATGCTTACTTGGTTTCGAGCGGATTTGACCAGTACTTGTAATGGTTATATTTCGGGTCGTCTAAGTCGTCAGCTATTCCATGAGAGAAATGTGACTCGGCACGCTTCATCATGTTGGGTGCCACAAACCGCAGAAGATCTATTGCAGTTTTTGCTGTATATGCTTTATTTTCCGCCACTTTCTTGACACTTTCCTTACTCATTTGGTTATATTCTGTCCACACGCCTCCACAATTGTTTGGCACACTTTGATGCACATCTTCCTATTCATATATACATACAATAATCAGTTATATTTTGGATGAGAAAATGGGTAAGTTTCGTTACTGAAAAAATGGGTGATTATATACCGTTGCATCAAAAAGTGAAAGCTGTGAAGATGGTAATTCAGAGGATGCTTTCCCAAATGAAATTATTCTCCCATATTTAGTTGCCACTTTTGTCTGGGAACTACAATTGTGTTCTTCCTCGGGTGACCAATCCAAGTTACCCCAAAGGGTCTCCCCTCCTTTAGGAATCAATGAAACAACGGAATCCCACGTTCGAGAAACCTTCATGACATGTTCCATTGTTTGAAACCGAAATGTCTCATCAAATAGACCAGGTGCCATTGATCTGCAAATACAAACCAATTAATGTTTGAAACTTGAAAGCAGTAGTGTGAGAATTATGCCCAAAGCGGACAGATCTCTTGTCGGCACTTGCATTTGGTCATGTCTGCTGAACCATTGAGTTACCGTTACATCCTCTTACATGCTTTGAAAGACTAACCTGATAAACGAAATGTCTTTCCCTTCAGCAGATAAGATGCTGCTAAATGACCTTGGAACACCAAGAAAAGCTGGGCCGACGTTCATGATTGCTTTGATGTGGTTTGCACACCAGGTAGGGCCACCGCCCCCTCCCATCGGAGGAGGGGATTCAACCCATTTAAGGAAGTGAAGAAAATATACTACTCCCATAGAATGAGGCACCACCACCACTTTTTTGTTACCATTTGTCGCATACATTAGCTCAATCTTACTCTTTAATCTGCTAAGAGCCTGGTCCCTTACCTGTTTTTTTGCTTCCAATCACGAGTAAATGTATTAGAGTAGCCTCTACCTAACTCAAAAATTATTATGTTTATAAGAAAAAGAAACTTAACCGTTGGCTGGAGGCTAATAAAGGTCAAGTCTAACACCGGTTAATAAAGTTGTGCCTTCGTTACGAGCTATAATTTTTAGCACTTTGATCGTAACAAGTGGTATCAAAGTCAAGTCACAACTAACACTAGCTAAATTAAGTTTCTGTTTGTCTTCTTCTATATGAGGAAACACACAAGTTTTAAACAGGAATTACATTCAAAAGTTGTTCTTCTATGAATAACTTGATTGATTAATTAGTTACCATAAGTGCAGCCAGCATTTACTTAGATCGAATTAATGCTATCTGGCTTATTCCTAGACTGGAAACATAAAGAGAAAATTATGTGCATTCATAAATTCAAGAAGGTGGATCAGTAAACTAAACCTCTGTGTTCTGGAAAGAAAGCCTCCAGTCATAAGCAGCCATATACAAATTCTTCTGTTCATACCCAATTCTTGCCAAATTCTCAATCAGTACAGCCCAAACGAAGTATCCAGGAGCAAAATAATCAGCTGCAACTAGTCCTGGAACTGCTCGAACCCGAATTCCGGGAGGATCAAGCCCTGTTTCATTGTCCAGAGACAAGTGTTCCAACCAACACAATGGCCTGATCAAATTCAACATCGGAATCATCAAACCTTAAACTTCTCTAATTCAACCATAAAACATGTTGGGTGGAGGCCAGTAAAGCCAACAGCCAAGTCCATCAGTTAGAGGATTGTTAGACAGAGGCCAGTCAGGGCCTAGTCCAGTACTCTACCTCTAAAAATGTGAAGTCTTTGCTACTATTTATAGCTTTTGGCTTAGTGATAAACACGAAAACAGTACAGAAACACAAACCTCTTGAACATTTCAGCAAAGCTGCCACCCCAAAGCCGCTTACGAAACAAGCCTTGAGCACAAGGCCTGCCCTCCCAGAGCTCGAGGCCACCGGTGACAATGCCGGGGACTAAAACCACCGGGTGAAAACCCGTCAAGCCCTCGCGCTTGAGCCGGGCGCCCGGAGAATCAGTAGGGGCTTTCAGTCCAGACAAAAAGTTGCCGAGGAACAAAAGAAGCCACCACGTTGTACACAGGTACCCAATCATCCGACAACATGAATCTATACACCTCCACTCCTTACGCTGCTGTTTCTTCCCCACTTTCTCTGCAACAGAAGCAACATTTTCTTGCTTCTTCTTCTCATCGTCATTTCCCTTCCCTTTCAAACACTTCACCGGCTCAACATAACACAGCTTTCGAAATCTAAGTATAGAACCCATAGGCTAAGACAACAAGAATTCAAACTCATAGAATACACAGTAAGTTAACTGAACTAACTAATGGAAAGAATGGGGAAATGGAGAGACAGAGAAGGGGTTTAAATTGTTGTCCGTTAAAGGCTTAATGCAATGCGAGAATAGGGAGTGATGGGCCACGTGGTGAAGAGGAAGACATGGGGAGTGTCAAGAGCAGCTGCTAACGCATCATATCATCGAAGTCCAAAGATTCCTTCCATCAGATCAGAGGGGGGAGAAGTGGCCGGTGAATATAATGTAACAACTAACAAGGAGCCGAAAAACAACAAATGGATTCCATTTAAGAGTGTCTTTGTGGTGACCACTGCAGATTGCGGAAAAATAGTGTCATGTTGTGAAGGCGCGATATAACCGAGGAGAATTTCCAGGAGTATATTCTAGTTAAGTAAAACTTAATTACATGCCAATGTCAAGATAGAGCCGTCAAAAATGAGTTTTACTCGCCAGATCGATCCGTTCCGTCTCGCTGTAGGTAAGGAACGGATTCTTGATTATTTCACCCGCCAGGAGGCGGGCTTTTTAGCCCGTTCTGTCTGGGTCACGGGTCCAAGCGGGGCGGGTCAGGCGGGCCGCGGGTTTAGCTCGCGGCCTACTAATCTATATTTGAAACAAAAAAAATCACAGCATGCTTCGCAATTCTCAATTTCCAAATCAATGATGATAGAGATCAAGGAGAAGAATACCATGATATGAATGATATAATGGTTGACGAATTATGAGTTTTAGAAGTTTAGTATTTGCAAAACTATTTTATTTTAATTTCTAATGTTGAATAGAAACTTGAAAAGTTTGGATAATTTCTATTAGTTGTTAGTTATTTTAATTTGTATTAATATTTAGTATTTAATACATGTTGTTAGTTTGTATGTCATTTTTTTTAAATTAAAACACTTACACAGTTGTGTAACTACAAGCCTACAATACAACAAATCTTTTCTAATTAAAAAAAGTATTGGCTGGCGGGCTGGCCCGCCCCGCCAACGGGCTTTGGCATGGCGGGGCGGGCCGGCCACATTCCAAGCCCGCTAAGAGGCGGGCTTTTTAGCCCTCCCCTTGGTGTGTTTTGGCCCGTCCCGCCCCGCGAGACCGTTTCGACGGCTCTAGTCAAGAATCTTGTGGTCCAGTAACACTAAATTGGTCTCTCATATGAAAAGTGCTGAGTTCAAACCTGATACGCAACAAAGGAAAGAAATAATTGGTGGTTTAATTAGGGGATGGTCTACAAGGAATGAATATATGTAATTAGAGGATAATTGACTAAATATTAGTATAAGGAAATTATGTATATTAGAATATATCATTACCTTGTATAGTTAGAATAATTGTAGTAACTTAATTATTATATGTGTTAGTAATTTAGTATAAATAGGTCCATTGTATATGAATACGGGGAACCATTCAGAGGAAATATATTGTTATTCTACTATTCTAGTCTATTCTTCTTGGAGCCCACACACGCTCGAAGTGTGAAATTGGAGTTTACCGTGACTCGAATACGGTTAGGAGCCAGAAGCCTGCTCGAAAGGTTTCTTCAGTTGCGTACTAAATTTGAGTACGTAACATTGGTGCTTTCATTGAGAGTATTGGTGAGAGTATCTCATATCCTTTTGTTATTTTATTTTATTTTTTGTTTTTATCTCATTTTTTTATAGCACCCCTTTGAAAATTCAAAAAAAAAAAAAAAAAAAAAAAAAGATCTCAAAAAAAAAAAAAAAACGAGAGAAAAGAAAAAAATACAAAAAAAAAAAAGTAGAGAATTATTTTTTATGAAAAATATTACTCACCGGTGCTTATTGGTTTCTGTACACCATGTATGGTATTCAATTGATGATTTTGTATTGTATTCGATCTTTTCCACAAAAGGATCTGTACAATATATTCATATTTTGAAGGATGAAAGTTACACCTTCCAAGCTTTGGTATGGTTTGATTTTGTCTTAGATGCATTCATGGCCAAACAAGCTTTTCATGGCCAAAATATTTACGATAACTGTTGTGTCTTAGACATTAAATATCCTAATTTGGAGCTGTTGATGGCTGTGTGTGGAGAATTACAGACGGACCAAGATGATACTTTGGAATGCCACACTCCTAATTATTCTAATCCAATTTCTCAAGAAGAACCAAGTAACCCAGAGTCTAAAGAATCATCAATAGCAACAGATTTCCCAACCACTCATGATGAAAGCAACATTCACAATTTCAACAACTTAGAGTCTCTTGAGGATTATCTTGAGACAAGACTTGTGAGTCCTACTACCTTAGACTTGGAACTCAACATTGGAGAGCAAGAGATATTTTTAGACGGTGCAAGTCAAAAGGGGAGGAGACCATTTATGTGTCACGATCAAGCTCGTGAACCATTTCAATTTATTTTGCCAACTAGCCCCCATCCAAAGTTGCATGGACTGCTTCAACAAATATGTTTTTATTCTATTCCTCTCTACACCTTGAGGACAAGGTGTTTTTTTGAAGGGGTGGAGAGTGATACGCAACAAAGGAAAGAAATAATTGGTGGTTTAATTAGGGGATGGTCTACAAGGAATGAATATATGTAATTAGAGGATAATTGACTAAATATTAGTATAAGGAAATTATGTATATTAGAATATATTATTACCTTGTATAGTTAGAATAATTGTAGTAACTTAATTATTATATGTGTTAGTAATTTAGTATAAATAGGTCCATTGTATATGAATACGGGGAACCATTCAGAGGAAATATATTGTTATTCTACTATTCTAGTCTATTCTTCTTGGAGCCCACACACGCTCGAAGTGTGAAATTGGAGTTTGCCGTGACTCGAATACGGTTAGGAGCCAGAAGCCTGCTCGAAATGTTATGTACTCAAATTTAGTACGCAACTGAAGAAACCTTTCGAGCAGGCTTCTGGCTCCTAACCGTATTCGAGTCACGGCAAACTCCAATTTCACACTTCGAGCGTGTGTGGGCTCCAAGAAGAATAGACTAGAATAGTAGAATAACAATATATTTCCTCTGAATGGTTCCCCGTATTCATATACAATGGACCTATTTATACTAAATTATTAACACATATAATAATTAAGTTACTACAATTATTCTAACTATACAAGGTAATGATATATTCTAATATACATAATTTCCTTATACTAATATTTAGTCAATTATCCTCTAATTACATATATTCATTCCTTGTAGACCATCCCCTAATTAAACCACCAATTATTTCTTTCCTTTGTTGCGTATCACTCTCCACCCCTTCAAAAAACACCTTGTCCTCAAGGTGTAGAGAGGAATAGAATAAACACATATTTGTTGAAGCAGTCCATGCAACTTTGGATGGGGGCTAGTTGGCAAAATAAATTGAAATGGTTCACGAGCTTGATCGTGACACATAAATGGTCTCCTCCCCTTTTGACTTGCACCGTCTAAAAATATCTCTTGCTCTCCAATGTTGAGTTCCAAGTCTAAGGTAGTAGGACTCACAAGTCTTGTCTCAAGATAATCCTCAAGAGACTCTAAGTTGTTGAAATTGTGAATGTTGCTTTCATCATGAGTGGTTGGGAGATCTGTTGCTATTGATGATTCTTTAGACTCTGGGTTACTTGGTTCTTCTTGAGAAATTGGATTAGAATAATTAGGAGTGTGGCATTCCAAAGTATCATCTTGGTCCGTCTGTAATTCTCCACACACAGCCATTAACAGCTCCAAATTAGGATATTTAATGTCTAAGACACAACAGTTATCGTAAATATTTTGGCCATGAAGAGCTTGTTTGGCCATGAATGCATCTAAGACAGAATCAAACCATACCAAAGCTTGGAAGGTGTAACTTTCATCCTTCAAAATATGAATATATTGTACAGATCCATTTGTAGAAAAGATCGAATACAATACAAAATCATCAATTGAATACCATACATGGTGTACAGAAACCAATAAGCACCGGTGAGTAATATTTTTCATAAAAAATAATTCTCTATTTTTTTTTTGTATTTTTTTCTTTTCTCTCGTTTTTTTTTTTTTTTGAGATCTTTTTTTTTTTTTTTTTTTGAATTTTCAAAGGGGTGCTATAAAAAATGAGATAAAAACAAAAAATAAAATAAAATAACAAAAGGATATGAGATACTCTCACCAATACTCTCAATGAAAGCACCAATGTTACGTACTCAAATTTAGTACGCAACTGAAGAAACCTTTCGAGCAGGCTTCTGGCTCCTAACCGTATTCGAGTCACGGTAAACTCCAATTTCACACTTCGAGCGTGTGTGGGCTCCAAGAAGAATAGACTAGAATAGTAGAATAACAATATATTTCCTCTGAATGGTTCCCCGTATTCATATACAATGGACCTATTTATACTAAATTACTAACACATATAATAATTAAGTTACTACAATTATTCTAACTATACAAGGTAATGATATATTCTAATATACATAATTTCCTTATACTAATATTTAGTCAATTATCCTCTAATTACATATATTCATTCCTTGTAGACCATCCCCTAATTAAACCACCAATTATTTCTTTCCTTTGTTGCGTATCAAAACCTCATAAGATATATTTATCCTACTTGTTTTCTATGAAAAACATTTTCTTCATTCTAAATAAAGGAAACCAAAATTTTCTCAAATTCACGAAAAACATTTTCCTTGGAAAATATTTTCTACCGAACCAAACATGTCTTTAAGGGTGGTAAAATAAGAATTTGAGTGTCCTTGGATCTAGTATAGTGGTTGATCACTTCTCCCAAAAATTGAATCTCCAACACTAAGGACCCCCACACCCTGGCCCGACATTTTGGAGGATGTAAATCGACATATTTATCCTACTTGTTTTCTATGGAAAACATTTTCTTCATTCTAAACAAAGGAAACCAAATTTTTATCAAATTCACGAAAACCATTTTCCTTGAAAAATACTTTCTACCGAACCAAACATGCCTTTAAGGGTGGTAAAATAGGAATTTGAGTGTCCTTGGATCCAGTATAGTGGTTGGTCACTTCTCCCAAAAGTTGAATCCCCAACCTAAGGGCCCCCCACACCCCGGCATTTGGGAAGATGTAAATCGACAGGGCCAAATGCCGGTGCGCACAAGGAATCTGCTCACAATCTGTCACTGTTGAGGAATCTGCTCACTTTGGACATAATTCTAACACTGTCACTGTCGAGGTTCGAACATTGGTCTCTTCTCTCAAATACTGCCCACTGAAACATTGAGCTAAACCCGTGCGGGCATAGTGGTTGATCACTTAAATTTATAGCTGGAAGTCGCAAAGTGGGGGTTTGAACCTCACTTC